CTCGCTTCAAGTATCATCTTGCCAGCGAGACGGAATCCATATGGATCCTACTGGAGGCTTAAAACGGCAATCCAAAAAGCAGAAACATACATAATCAGTTCTGCACCCAATACTTTCCGAATCGACATTCCCGACTACTAGCCTTTGGCACAGAACGAAGCCTTGAATAGCTTGATGCGAAACCAAACCGTGCACATTGCAATTCCCAATAGCTTACGCAAGAGCTTTCTGCAAAGGAAGACACTACAGGTGGGCCATTCCCAATAGCTGGCTGCAAATCAAACTCAACGGACGCCTCGGCCAAACCTTCTGGGAAAAAGCACCTTTTGGCCAAACCTTCAAAACAACCTCCGCCAAAGGGTGTGACGCTATGCCTTTGGTTTCACTAGTGTTCTCGTAATCTGCCCCGGTAATAAGTCGAAAGAGAGTCAAAGGAGCCTTCGTGTTAACGCGAGTGGATTTGAGTTGCCGTGGCGACGAGCGCATTGTGGTGTTGAAAGAGAAGAGAGCAGCAGATTCTAGCCGCCCGCGAAAGCTCGCCACGACGAATCAGGAAGCACCCAAGCAAGTCTGATGTCAGAAAGGAGCTAGTGGCGAGTGGATCTGAGGATGCGCAGGCAGGCTTGAGAAAGCTCGTGCCAGAGCATTGCGGGTTGGGCTTTGTCTTCAGCTACTTGCACACTGAAGATTTCTATAGCCTGATACTTTCCACAAGTTCAGATTTTCCTCGGCAGGTCTACATATGGCATCGACACTATGGATCGCTGCTGCAGGCTCCGAGCCTGCGTGCGACATACTGCGGCCGTTTCCAGGAAGATTCAGGCGTGCTGATATGGTGCTGAGCAGGTCCTGCCAGGGCACACTGCAACGGTGAACTCAGTGTGCCAGGAGACTCAGCATACCAATTCGTAGCAGTAGTATGTCGAAAAGCTGTTGCAGGATCCCGCTAGCAGAGTACATGTTGTGCATCTTGAACTTGCCACCCCAAGCCATTGAGGTTGGATGCAGGGATCTTCCCCTGCCGGTGTGCTTTGTCTGCATATGGTTGTTGCACGCCTGCCGCTGCCAAACTTAAGATCCACGTGGTGAAGCTGCGGGCCTTACATGTGACTGTGACTTCGCTTAACAAAAAACTCCCCTCTCCGCCGCATGGCCGTGCCGTCATTCACTTGTAGACTCCCAGTCTCCGCAGTCTGCACCTTAGGAGCCCAGCGGCTGGCTGGTGTCGGCCTCCGATGACTGTACTCTCAGGGCCCGGTGCCCAGATGTGGCTCTGTCTAGGAGCCCGTCTCTGGCTCCATTTCAGGATGCCCTTTGCAAGTCAGGAATTCGCTTCAGGCATTGGGCTGGACCCAGCTAGCAGGACCTCGCCAGTCCATGTTTTGTGCCACTTCCAAGTCCGAACAAACTGCTCCTCCGGCTGAAGCACGAAGGTTTGGGGAACGGAAGCTGCAGAGATGTGCCGCCCACAGCCTTGCAGCTCTTGCATCTCTCACAGCCCAAAAGCCCAGAGGCCCAGGCCTGTCTATCAGGGTTTTCGCTGCAGGGATGAAGCCGAGTCTGCAGAGGAGGAACCCGCGGCCGCCTGGGTCCCAACATGTCCAAGGAACGGCTTTGACGCACCGTTGCGCTTTCTCGGAGTTGAGGCAACGGCATGTCATCTCCGAATTATCTGCTGCCGCGTCAAGGTTTGCCCTCGTACGTAGCTCCTTGCCCCGTTCCTTGGCCACTCTAAGCGGGCTCTCGTAGCTCGGCATGGAACGATGGCGGAGCCTGCTGGCAGACCTAAGCCAGGAGCTGGAAGGCCAGGGCTTGTCCCCAAATTTCCACCATGCTGAGCCCATCTCTTTTGTCCTGAGGCCAGTTCGCGCTTATGGACGACCTCCGCCGCATGAATCGGCAATTGGAAGATTCCTTGGCGAATGCTAGTTCGCACGTCTTCCAGACAGGCATGCGGCGATCACCCACGAGATCGCCCACCAAGGCCGAGAAATCTTGGGAGATGGTGATTAACAGCACGACCACGCTGAAGGGAGTGAGCAAGCAAGGACAGAGGCCAGCAAGGCCTTCAACGAGGCCCACGACGCCGCAACAGGATGTACCCGCTATTTGGATCAAGAGCGAAAGCGAGAACCAGAACCTGAACCTGGAAGCAGATCGGCTCGAAGACTTTACGCCAGAGGACTCGAAGCGGGGGTCTGGGGAGTCCGGTCTACGCGGCATTGGCATTGGCCGTGACAGCGGTGCTTTGCAAAATGCTAAGACTTGGAAAACTCGAGCTGGCTCCAAGCAGTCGAAGGCCCGAGATAGGGGTGCTTATTCTGGGTGGCGAGAGATGGATGGGGATTCATGATGCGATGATGTGTGATCGTGATGGTTGGTGCTGATGATAATGGAATGATGAAAGCCTGGAGAAAACTGACTGAACAGGTGATTGACGACGGCATCCAATTCACGGTCCTGAGGGCGCACAAGACAGGTGTGTATACTGTGCAAAAACCGTGGTGCCTCGCCTCGGGTTTAAAGTTCCATTTCCTTCTGTCTCCCCACTCCGGTTTTGGGGCTCATTACGAGCTTCGAGGTACGTCATCAACCCTGACCGAAGCTGGCTGGCCAGCACCTGGCAATTTGTGATGAGCTTCGCCCTGCTCTTTGTTGCGTTCGTGACCCCAGTTCAAGTATCACTACTGGAGCCTGGGGTGGACGCTGTCTTCGTCGTCGGCTTCCTGGTGGACTTCATCTTCTTGGCCGCTCGGCCGTACGTGATGTTCCTGTGAAGCTGTCCCTGTTGCAAAGTGCCTCAACTCAGAACTGAGTTCCAGCTGACTTAGGTCGACCTGATCATGCAGTTCTTCACCGCTTACTCCACAGCAACTCCCTACGGCGTGGTCTGGGAAGTGCGTCTCTCCCACATATGCAAGCACTACCTGAAAACTTGGTTCATGGTGCGGGCCCAAACAAGTGGTCCTACAGTAGTTTCTTTGAGGGTTGGGAGGTGTTGAAGCCGAGACTAGGTCTAGGACACACAGAAGGACAGGTACTTGTAGGCTGCACTGAGCTCCACCATCCCCAGGTGGATTTCATCACAGTTATTCCCTGGGACTTCCTGGCCATGTTTCTGCAGATGAACAGTTTGAAGGACCTAGTCGGCATCAAGGTGATCCGGGCTCTTCGCCTCATCAAGCTTATGCGCCTCATGAAGGCATCCAAAATTTTGCAGGACCTGGAGGCTCCGCTGTCCATTCCTTATCAGAAAGTCGCGCTCTTCCGGTTCATCTTGGTTTTGGGTTTGACGTGCCACTGGCTGGCATGTGCTTGGGCGGTGACACTCTCGGTCATCGACGAGGGCTACCCGCGTTGGATTGATGATATCGCAGAAGCGGATCTTCATTTCGGTGTGGTAACCACGGATTCGCCATACCGTGTTTATGTTGCATCTTTCTATTTTTGCGCATACACCGTTACCTCCGTGGGGTACGGCGATATTAGCCCCAAAAACATCGTCGAGCGCATGATGTGTTCGGGGCTGGTTTTAGCAGCCGGTCTTTCATGGGCCTACGTCATTGGAGAAGTTGGCGCCATCACTGCAGACATGACCGCAGAGAGCCAGGAGTTTCGCAAAACGATGCACCATTTGAGTCCCGGCTTAGCCTTCTCCAACTAGATGATAAGTCAATGTGAGTCCAGTGTACTCCAAGTTAGTCACAGCTGTGTAAACAGATAAGCTCGACGCGAAAAATCTGGGTCGTTGGTTGTCTCGTGCGATGTGAGGAACCGTATGATGGATGATCAGAGGGTCCCTTATGAACTCCAGATACGCGTTCGACGCTACTTCCTGCAGAACAAGTACCAGTCAATGCATGTGTCACGGCAAGCCTTGTTGAAGCGTATGAGCCCGCAGCTTCAGGCCGAGGTATCGGTGATGACAAACCTTCTATGGCTAGAGAAAGTGAGCTTCTTCAAGAGTTTTCTGGGCTACATCAAGGATCAGAACAAGCTTGGAGTATACACCGCACCCTATGAGGCTTGTGTGGCGGATGTGGCAAGGGCCCTGAACGTTTGCGCCTTCGCCCAGCAGGAGACCTTCCACAATGTGCAGGTTTTGTACATTTTGTCCAAAGGCCTCGTGGCTCTGAACAGCCGCGTGAGGTCGTTGGGAGTGGTGTGGGGGGAGGACTTCGTCTTGTCAGACACTTCCTTGATTCGACCCGTGGCCTGCTATGCCTTGACGTATCTGGAGCTCTTTAGTTTGACTCGGGAGGATTTCATGCAAATCATCCAAAGGAGGCGCTTCACCTGCCCAGAGCTCTTCCGCATCGTTCGCCGCTACTGTGTTTGCATCGCGGTCTACCGCGGCATTCTGGCTGAGGCGAGGAGGCGACAGCTGGACTTGATCCAGGCCGAGGTGGAGCGTGTGAAGGCAGAGGAAAAGGCGCAGGCGGGGAGCCGAGTGAGGGAGGTGGAGCGAACAGGATCGGAGTCCTGGAGCTCGCTGAGCCTCCCTGGTGAACCCGTGCATTGAAGGCGAAGTTTCCTGAGAGACAGGTGCAGTCAGTGAATGCAGACGCTCCTGGCTCTTAGTGTCTTAGAGCATAAGGCCAGCTGACGAATCCAAAAAGTCTTAACAAACTACGTCCCAACGCCTGCAATGTTGAGCATCGAAGGGCCATAAACAAGCCGAAAGATGCTGTAAGAAAGGCACCTGCCAGAGATAAGTGGCATGATGCATCCGGACTGTAGCCGAATCACACTCGTCAGCTGGTTGCCTCCATTTGTCAAAGGTGTATTACGGCTGAGTCGTGTTGAATCATAGATGAGCCGTGGGTGGAATCGGGGCTGCTAACAGGATCAGCAGGGAGTACAAGCTAGAGGTGTACCCTTGCGAGGTAACAATCTTGTCCGAGGCTCAGAATTGAATTCCGTTTTGCAGGGCTGGCCCTCACTGACCAAGTGTCGGGGCAGCCAAACGACGAGCACTTTGCTTGGCTCGCGCATGAGGTTGGCGATGACCGATGAGTGAGATCCAAGCTTTTGCTTCGTGCATGATTTTGATCATTGGGGAATGATCCGGGTGGGTCAGATCGGTTGTCTGCGTTTGTTATTGAATCGGCAACGAAGCTGACTAGCAGTGCGCTTCAAGATCACAGTTTCAGCTGAACACACCGAGAGAGTTCCCCGAGCTGGCCTCTGATCACACATAATGTGCCAGACGCTCCCAGCTCCTTCGAGTGATGTCCTCTGTTCATGCTCGTGTTCGGCATCTGCCGAACACCTGTTGCACAGCTTGATGCAGCTGACGGCTTTCCCCTGTGCACAGCGCTTCTTGACCCTGGCTTGCCAGCTGCACCAAATGCAATCTCCATGGGAAAAATTGCTGGACCTGCTGATTGGCCCTTCCACGCCCGGAGCGACCAGGCTGTATCTGGAGCAGAAGACGTTGATCAGAGGCTGGAATTCATCCACTGCACGCTACGTGCAGTATCGCAGGCGACTTGAGGCCATGTTCAGGTGTCGGACTTACTCCCGATAGAAAAGGCAATCATCATTGAGGTTCTCCAAAAGAATGGGACACGACTCCAGCATGCCTTCAATCCGATGGGACGTAGGAACGTGATGGAGCGTGTCTGCATCAGCCCTCTCTATAGGCTTTCGGCTCGAGCTGTTCAGAAAGGGCACGAGGTGGCGCTGGAGCTCAAGAGGACAACTCTGCCAGGCCGGGAGAGCCCTAGGTATACATCTGTCAGCCGCGATCAAAGCGATCCGAGGGAGCGCGTCGTGATTTCGCAGTCTGCCGGGAACGAGAAGGCTCGGGATGCACGTCGCCACACCACATCTCAGTGCTCGGCGGATGCATGAAGCAAACCTTAGCCGCCCCTAGCCTTAGGTGGCATGCGAGAAAAGGGGGTCCCCAGGTTCGAAATATTTACAATGCTCGCGAATCTCGCAATCGAGATCGGCACCTGGGTGCAAAACTATGCTGGATGTGCTAACTTGGTAGATGCATGTGTAAGGATCGGCGAAGCTAACAGTAGCTTGACAGTCACGTGACACCGCCGTATTACAATCTCTCGACACTGCGAGTCCCGTGCAATCCTGTGTGGAACACCAACTGCCAAGTTTGGATGGAAATGCAGGATTTGGCCAACAGCTGTAATTAGCGTTCAGGAGTTGATGTTGTGGATTGTGGTCTGTTGCTTGAAGAGTTCCTTTGGTCCACTGTGATCGGCAAAGCTCAGGATTGAACACCCTCGGGCTACTTCTCGAAACCCCTCTCCTGGTGATACTTCGCAGCGGCTTGTCGAACACCGGTCGGGCTGAATTTTGATTGCTTGGGTCCTGGTCGAGAGGGGCTTCAGACTGCTAGAGACGTCGGCAACCCAAGCTCACTGTGTCTTCGAGTCCAACACCCGCCTGCCAGAGGTCGCTGCCCGCCCAGCAGAATGTACCCCTCCTGCTCCTGGTTGCGATATGTGTTGACAAGTTGAACTGCCGTTCGTTGCTGCCGGTTCCCGGTGCTTCTTCGGAAGCTCCATGCGAGGGAGCTCTTGTTCATGCGGGCAGCCGGAGCGCGCGAAACGCCTCATGTCGGAGGTCTCTGTCAGGGTGCACAAGCGCCGTGATGCCCTGTATGAACAAACGACAGGGGGGCCATGCAGGTCGCGAGGGCTCTTTTCATGCATGCCAGAGTCCAGCAACGCCACTCAGGTTTTGTGACCACTCTTTCTTCCAGTGGCCTCACCAAGAAAAGAATCTGCGAGAAGGCAATCGGGATATGGACTACCATGCTGGGGTTTCCCGATGTGTTTTTGTTGGTTGGGGATTGCTAGCGGCATTGCCTGTGCCTTCCTTGCTTTGCCCGTCAGCGTGGAGGGTTTTTCGTAACATAGGCATTGAAAGCATTATGTCAACGATAAGTAGCAAGCGAGCATCATGCCATGCTTGGGGGCGTGGGCAGCTTGCGACCTGCTGCTGACCTGCAGGCCTATCCACCATGTGAGCAACAGGAGCAGTCGAATGACGAAGCTGCCACGCCAAACAGGTGTGGCCTTGCCTGCAAATTGAGGCCAAGACTTGACAACATCCTTCTATTGCTTTGCCTGCTGACGATACTTACACACAGGCCGAACATCACCATGAGACTGCCCATTGCCCATTGCCGATGGATCGCCACGAGTGGTGTGGCCATGAAAGCGCTGCCTGCTCTATGCCGAGGTGAGGCAGACGACTCCAATTACCAAGAAGTGGGCCGCAAGTCTGCAGCTAGGAGTGTTGATGCACCTCTCTGTCGCGGATGATTTCCATGCAGTTCGGCCTGATCTCCCAGGAACCCCATTGACAAAACTTGGCGAAATGGAGAACATCAAGACCGGCCTCAGGCCCTTGCGGCCCTTGCGGCCCTTGCGGCCCTTGCGCAGCTGGTGCTTCTGAAGTAGAAAAACCCCGATCTCGGTCTTTTTCTATTCGCAAGAGTGCCCTGGGCCGCTTCCGTTTGGCTGTCGCTGCGAGCTTCCCCAATATGGCCTCACCCTGAGCAGTCTGTAACAGTTCAGTGGTCAGTATACCTCTAGTACGGCGACGATGTCTAAGCGGCGGAAGCTTGGTACGGCCTCGCAATCGGCTCCCTTATCAGCAGCGTCGAAGCGGTCCAGAATTCTGAGAAAAAGACGTGTGTAAGTCTGTTGGCAGTTTTTGAAGTAGTGAATTCTTGCTTCATGGTCCAGCACCACCGGGAGTGGGGCGACTGAATTTCGCATGTTTGATGCTAGCACGATAAAGACTGCAGGAATAGGCATGAGAGCGACACAACAAGAGCTGGCAAGAGCTATAGGAGAGCCCGAGCAAGCTGCTCACGATTCGACAGATGTCAAACGACTCTTTGTCAGTGAGACATTTGCGTGGTGCTGGATGCAAGACAGCCCCGGCCACCAAGCAAATGGGCTTGTAGGTCCTTCCATGTCGCCTCCGAGAAGAAGCAGCCGAACGGTCCCCGGAACAAGGCATCTCGCTTTGATGAAAACGCCGATCGTGGAGCTTGTTTGGCCACGTTCCGGTGCCTGAGGTGAAGAATTTTGCGGAGGAAGATCTTTTGATGATCTTGTTGGCTGTGCCAGGAGCCCAGCTTCCCAATAGAACTCTGAGTTTTGCCTCGATTGATCGGCTGGCAAAGTTAAGCCAGAATCCTGCCTAGCCGTTCGAGTCGCTGATCCACCCGGGCGGGTAAGAGTACTACCGATACGGTGGATTAGCAATGACGTCCCGGTCCCCGAACCCTGCACTGTCATGAGGTTCGGGCTGGCTAAGCACCGCCGGCATTGGGGCAAACGACCCGAAGAAACCTGGGGAGTTTTCTTGGAGCTGCTTGCTGCTTGGTTTGCGTCAATGACGGAACTGCTCCTGCTTGACCGTCGTTTGCTTTGCCTTTGTAGATTCATCAGCCGAGGACGATATTCTCACTTTCAAGAGCGAAACGCAAGTGACGTACTTGCAGGCGGGCAGATGAGTGCTAAAGCGGTTGCTAAGCGACCGATGCTATGCCTTCCAGACAGGGCACAGCAGCTCGTACAGACGAGCCGTCGGGGCCACACACCTTCAACTGTTTTTGTTTTTTTTTTGAGGGGGGAGGTTTGGGTGGACCATCGTTCCTCGTAGAGAGAGGGGGAGGACACAGCGACGAGCTGTGGGGTTATGGACCGAGACCACTTGACTCGCCATTATGAAAGCAGCCTGTCGCAAAATGCATGCACACCGGTAAAAATTCCGACACGAAGCAGGGCTGGAGTGAAAAAAGTCGCACTGTTGGGCCTTCGTCATGCCCCCACGAAAAACCATCAGGGAATCGAGCCACTCAATGTTGCATGCGACTGTAAATGTTGGTCTTGTGAACATGCATAGCCACACTCCGAGAAACAGGTCTGCCACTTGTTTCTATGATTTCTACTTGTGTGTGAATCAGTAGGCTGCTTACGTGTCAGCAACTTTTGAGACACATCATTCGGTGATGGATCCCGGGCCGTTACAGCTTCACTGCTTGAGCTTCACTTTCAGATCGTTCGAGCAAAGTTCAACTTTTCTCATCTTCGCATTCTGTTGATGACCTCGCAGGCAGGAGAGTGGGAGTCGCTGCAGCATTGGGTTTCTGGCGGCTTGGAGACACTTTCAATTTCGGCAGGCATGATCATTTCCTTGCTGTTTCCAAGCAGGTCGTGCGATTTAGGAGTTGGCAATTTCTTCTTGTCTTCGGATCCTGGCGCTTTCATGTACTTGGATGACTTCTGCCTCAGGTTATCCCCCAAAGCAAATCGCGGGCATGCTCAACGCGGCGATCATCTTCCACTCGCTGCCAAACCCTAAAAGCACGCTGCGACTGGCCAGGGCTATGTCCACACAATGATGCTGCTATCGCTTGCAGAGCCCAGAGTTATCCAGAAACAACCATTTAGAAGTGCAGTGCTCAGGAATACGTTGGTCTTGTAGACGTGACGAGCAACAGGACTGCGTTGCCAAGGGCTCTGCCAGAACTGTTTAGAGTGAGATTTAGTTTGTGCAGCGATAAGGGCTACCTGACCCAGGGTCTTTGCGGCGCCTTTCACTGCGCATGGTCCGTCGCGCACGACTGTCCTAGATGGACGAAGGCTCGAAAGCCAGCATTGCAAAGTTACTCCTTGTGGTGAACTCGCCGATCTACACTCGGGGAGATGCCACTCAAACACTATTTTGTCAGGGTGTTTGATCTCCTATGCCCTGTACCATTGCAGAGGATGCTTTGCAAACACGAAGTCGATCTGAGAGGTCTTGATAAGTCCATGTTATGTCAGTGTGTGCAATGATGAGGGCACGGGAGGCTTTATTTCATTCTGATGTCATTGCCACCGATAATAAGACGCTGCCGCGGTCCACTGTCCGCGAGACCTGCCGCATCTGCCGCCTGCGTGAGGACCACTCCTCAGGAGCTAAAACAGCACCCAAACAAACTTTTGGATGGGATATCCGATTGCCCGTTTTGCTGGCTAAACGAGGGGATGATGGGATATCCCTTGTGGTCTTTGTTTAGGTGCTCCTTGGGATCCCTAAGTGGTGCGATCTCGCTGCGACAGCTTTTAGCCCAGACCGCGACAGATAGCATCGGGCGGCCACTGCATGACAGCTTTGCACCAAGCACCATCCTCCAAGGGAGCTGTTGGCAAAACAAATGGTTGACAGCATCGTTAGTCGCACCACATTCTGCCAATCGAATGTTAGAAGGTGGTGTTGGTGCCTGCATGAGAACTGTCACCATTCGGCTGCAAGCTGAGCTGACGGGAAGAAATAGCACAGGATATGCTCATCGCGGCTGCATTCAGTCAACAAGATAATATCGGACTTGATTTCCTCCCACCTGTTCGGCACGGATGACTCTCAACTGCTCAGTGTGATCGGGGTCCTGCACGAGCCTGGGACCAGTTCACACAAACGGAGTGTCTCAGACATGGGCAAGTGCCGTGTCTATTGACGATACCATCAGCATGCTTGAGGTAGTCTCCAGTGGCTTGCAGTCTGTTTTAGAGTGGGACAGCAACTGCAACAAGTTAGGGTGTGTTTGAAGAATTGACTTTTCGGATTTTCGGCTTTGCAGTAGGCTCGTCGGAGAGCGACCATTGGTGGCAGCTCCCTTATCGAGCCTTCTGCGGTGTGGTCCAAGGGATAACGTGATCGACATCTCTAGATTGCCCATGCTGTCTGCCTTGGTCGCCACCTGTTCGATCTGCGGTTCATGGTATCACGGGATTTGGTAGCAGTGACCGTTTCTTTGGCAAGCCTGGCTGTGTCAGCGGAGGGCAACCACATCGAGACTTTCCTACTGCCGACCCGTTGGGGGAATTCGTTCGTCCTAGCCGCAGATTCTAGCCGGTTCCATCTTTATGCAGATTGGAAAAGCCGGGCTTACTTCGTGACTTCTAGCTGGTGGGGTACTTACACTTACAAAACTTGGCTTAACAGGACAGGCTGGATGTTGTTAAGCCTATGGTGTTTTTGCATTGAGGCTACGTAGATGATCGTAGAGGTAGCTTGCTCGAGCCTGTGGTGGGGTTGCTTTGGTGATTCCGACAGGCTGATTGGAGATGTGAACAGGATTAAAGGTGGCCACGGATGGTGTAGCAGAAGAAGGAAGCCCGAGACAATCTCATCCCATCTTGCATGCCTCGACGAGGAACGTTCTTGCCTGCAAGGGGAGCTGGGAAGTCCGACCTATTGGGTCCCGCAATGTTGTTTCCACTGCATGTGTCTTGTTCAGTTTTGTGTCTGGCGCACATGACTGTCGCTTTTCTCTTTCTGCTTCGTAGTGTTGCCAACGTGTGACCTGTTAAATGTACGTGTCGGCTTTGCATTCGGGATCGTTGGGCAGCCAGTTTCCTACAGATTGTTTGTCGCTGGATGTTCCCGTTGACATGGCCAGACGAGAACGCATTAAGCCTGGATACTGTACCTTGATAGACACTCCACGAGCGTTACCCCCGCAAGGGTTGATCTTTTCTATAGGCTAAAAGCGTCTGCGTCCATGCACATCGGACAGATGTTATGCCAGTGTGAACCAGTTAGGAATCAGCCGACCTTCCGGAAACTACCGCGATGTCTGGTGGCTTAGTTTCCTTGCTTGCGGCTTGTGCGGCCAGCTGCCATTATCCGGATATGCGTTGTGGTCTCATGGCAAGGCTTCACTGGGAGAGACTAAGCATCTGCCATTGCACCGTGGAAGCACCATTCGAGGACAAAGTATCGACAGAAGCTGTAGCCTCCTCTGTGGAAGCCATCCAGCAATTGAGGCTCGGGGCTCAAAGGGCCCAAAACACTCGCCGACAGAAGCTTAAAAGAGTCTTAAAAAGGCATCTGCAACATTTGGTGCGGAAGCAACGGAGGGACCGGCTGCTGGAGAGCTCTCTCGTTTGCTTTGCGTTTTCCATTCCTGGAGCGAGAGCCTCCGTGAAACGCGCTACCGGCTCCTTGTCCCACTCAGACGTGGACGCATGCCAGGCATGGGGCAGAAGACCCCGAACGCCCAGGCAGGAGCCTCAGCTTACGCGAAGTCGTCGCAGCAAAAGCTTCTTCGGTGTGTGCACGTTCCGAGGCTTTGCAGCTTCTTTCCATTTAGAAGCACTGGAGGCACAGCAGCCTCCCGGCAGCCGCACTGTTTCTTCCTCAGCTCACATCCGGTCCTGGAAGGGCAGCGATGTCTCCAGTTGAGCTTCAGAAGGCCAGCATGCTACTCAGACAGCAGCAGAGATGTTGAGGATTGGGCAAAGCCTAGGCATCATATCCATGCGCGGCATTGAATAGAGGGTTGAAGACCCACTTCCGGCACCGGCTAACAAAGCTGTCACGCTTGGATCTCGAAGCTTCAGGTTGGCCTAGTGCGATCCTGGAGCGAGTAATGTCGGTTTACAGCCACCTGCCGAAACTCGCAAACAAGCAAAAGTAAGCAGACAAATAACTTCTGGCTCGGTCCACGCCGATGATTGGAGCATAGGTCGCTACGACAGGGACATTAAAGTCTCAATGGCATCTTGGATAGCCCACTATGCCAACCAGATCGAGACGAGCAGGCTCTCTCTCTCTCTCTCTCTCTCTCTCTCTCTCGTGGGGGTGTGATAGGTCTTCGAGCTGAGCGAGCCAGACCAAAGCTAGAAACGGAGCATGCCAGATCGCTCAGAACGCCAAACGACAGAACAAGCTCTCAGTATTTCGTCAGGTGAATGATCCATGCAGTCATGTCATGGTCGGTAGCACATCCTGACACATGCGGGCTTTGAAGTGTGGCGGAAGACGATTGACAAACAGGAATTCTCATACAGGATGCCTGCTGATGTCTGCTGTTGTCAGAGCAATCTCGTGAACGGTTCCATTCTCGTGCTAGGCTCAGTGGCGGCACATTCGGAATGTGGCATCTGGAATCCCCTGGATGCAAGTGTCATTCAGGCTGTCAGCAGCGCCAGTGTAATGTTAAAGTGCCGTACCGGTCCATTCATTGCATGCGTTTTGTCTTTTTGTGTGGCTGGTGCCCCTGCTTGACCTGCGGTTCGCCTCGAGCGATCAATTCAGCTATGCTGTTGCATGGTGCCACTTCCAAAGCTCCCGACGCTGCATGAGGGTTTTGCAGTTTCGATGCTGCAGGATGCCCGAGTGGTTGAGATTGGTAGTACGTAGAATTTTGGATTTGCCTTTGTGTCTGCCATCCGTATATAAGAGTTTTGGGATTGGTTTCTCCTGCTCCGGTAAGGTGATGGAAATCTCGTATATGCAGTCAAAGCGAGAACCTCCTTCGTCACTCTGTTGCAGTGCAGGGTATTCTGGACTGCTCGACATCGCCCCCTTTAGACTCGGCCTCGACCCTTTGACAATCCTTGCATCAGTCGTGAGGCACCTGGGCAACCAATGCCAACGGCAGGTAAGCTTTCACAACAGTTGCCCGCCCAGCACCCCAGCACATCAATCTAAAATCAATGTAAATCTGGACGTGAATTTGATTATTGGTCGTTGATGAATTCTTCGCAGATCGGTCGCGAGCTTTGGGAGCCTCGGTGCCAATTCCCAGCCCCTTAGACCAATGGCACTGCATCTGCGAACCGTGTAGTGGCAGGAAGCTTCACAATGACTTGATTCTGTTTTTGCCGCAGCGATTTAGTCCGTGGGGTGTGGGCATACCGGCTTGCTCGTGTGGATCTTATGCTTCTTCAGGCAAGCGAGAACGAGAAACAGCAATGTTTCGTCGCTTGCTGCATAATTCCAGGAGGAGTGATTTGGCCGTCACCACTTGTACATACCATGCGGCTATCTTGAGAATTTCCACGGTGCACATGGCGCAGCGTGCGCATCTCACGATTGCCTTCTCAAAACGCAGGACTTGTAGTGTACAGGTTTGAGGTGCAAAGACACACTCGACGTTTCATTCAGTTTCATTCGAATCAAAATCTTAAAAAAGACAATTTCAAGAATAAGATGGTCAAATTAAAAAATAGGTTGGATTGAAACTATTGATTATTTATTCCTTTCGTATTGGTATATTAAGTATTTATACGTGCTTTGATATATGATTATTTATAAACAGGGGTAATTACACTCCTTTTAAAAACGACTGATTAATTCTTTTAATATATATATATATACAGATATATAGTATAGGAATAAATAAGATATATATTATTTTGATTATCTAATGTTTAGGGGGGAACTTAGGCAGGGATGTACGTACGCCGGAAATAGAAGTACTATTTTGGAATTTTTCGCGATTCACGAAAACTTGTTTTAGGCTGTAGTGTATTGCCCCTTCGGGGGCGTCTGTATTATTCTGCTGTACATACGACATACCTTGCAGTGCCCAGCTTCTTGGTAGTACGTACTTATTTTCCTGAAACCGGGTTAGGCTTTTTAGGTTTTTTGCATGATTTTGATGGTTTCGTTTTCTTTTGGAAATGTCACATGTTATTAATGTAGGGGACATGGCGGTCTTATCTTAGCCACGTTAACAAAGCTATGGATGAAGACTAGAAGGGCTTGTAGACGTGCGAGCCTGTGCCTGTAAAAAAATGGGCCCCTGAGCCAGCAAGATTAGGAAAAGTTTTTCGAAGTTTACAAAGGCAGGTTTTCAGGTTAGACGATGTTTTTCCGCCATTATTGAAATTCACATGGACTTCATACTCAAGGCTGGGTCAGAACTGTACCGGTGTCTATGTATCTATCTTTGTGTCTGTCTCTGTCTCTGCTGCTGCAGCTACGTCTCTGCTTCTTTGCTTCTCTGCCTCGCTACCTCTATACGTCTTTATATCTCTATGTCTCTATATCTCTGCCTCTCTGATTGTCTGCTTCTCTGCTTGCTTGCCTGCTTGGCTGACTGGCGGCCCGGCTGGCTGGCTGACTGCCCTGCCCCCCTGTGCTCTACCCCTGGCCCTGCCCCTGCCCCTGCTCTGCCCCCCCCCTGCCCTGTCCCCCCCTCGCCCTGCGCCCCCCTGCCCCTGCGCCCCCCTGCCCCTGCGCCCCTTGCCCTGCGCCCCCTGCCCTGCGTTCCCTGCCCACCTACTGCGTTGCGCCCCCCTACCCTGTGCCCCCTGCCCTGCCCCCCTGCCCCCTGCCCTCCACCTAACCCCCTGCCCTGGCCTGCCCTGCTTTGCCCTCTTAGGGTTAGCAGTTCTTTCGGAATGCTGAGAATGTCCAATGCTTGGCCTTGAGCTCGGAGTGGCTCAGAGGCAGAAACCTCTCAGCAGCAAGCACGATGTGGTGTGACTGCTTTTGAACAATCTGGAACAGATAGCAGCTGCAAGCTCTGTCAAGGTTCGTACGGGGAGGGTTAAATGCTGCTTGCATGCAGGATGCATCTGCGAGAGGCGGTGGGACGAGGACCTCTCTGATTGCAACGTTCCGTGACGGTTCGTGCAGCGGCGAAGTCGCTCACTCTCAGCAGTTCAATCTTGGCAGGGAACAAGACGCTTCAGTGGTGAAACCTATCAATGCCAGCAAGGATAAGCTTCTCTGCATCTGTCGAGCAGCAAAGGGCCTCTCACCTTAGCCATGCCGGGGCGGAACCCGGACCTTGCAGGGCTTCTAGTGCCAACCTCACCCTCGAAGCCGGGGATGAACTTGCAGAGTAGAAAAGGGAAACGGTGCATTGTCAAATGGAAGTTGTTTAAGCCCAACAGCCGGCCGCGCTGCCCTAAAGCCTTGCTTGTAGCAGGAGCTATGCTGGCCAGAACACACGAGACGTGCGCCGCCCTTTTGTAGTCGTTAACTGTTGCAATCACGGACGTGCTCGTTGAACTACAACAAGTAATGTCAGTTATGCAAACGGCAGGTGGAAGCAGCTAGACTGAGCGAAGACTTCAAGCCCGAGCCTCAGATTTCGGCAGACCATGCTGGCTGAGTGAAGCGACACCTCGCAGGCCATGCAGGCCTCCAGCAAGGATGCAAGTGTGCTTCTCAGCCTTCTATTCCGGATGTTACACAGCCTTACGCGTGGTGTCGCCGTTTTTCGGGACATACTTGCACGCACGAGTTAGCGAAAAAAACACACGCGCCACTGGTGCGGACGACGCTGGACACATGATCCTTCATAGTTGTTCTCGGACCAGCTGAAATCTGAACTTCTGCCGTGCCAGCGTCTTTCCCTGCTCCCCGACTCCGCAGGGGAGTAAGTGACCTCCGCGCAATGACAAGGAAGGCTTGTGGTTTGTATAGTCAAGGACATGTTGGGAGCTGATCCAGGGACCCGAAAATGCGCGCTGGACGGTATGTTTCTGCCCATGCACCCTGGAAGGGCAAGTCAATCTGCTTGACTCACAAGCAGACTAGTGCGCAAAAGAGACTGCTGCTCGCGCAACCGGAGCAAGTAAGGCAAGCGAGATTTACGATGAATGCGAGCTGCTACCCGGAAAAGCAGAACAGGCGAGGGCGTGGAGATGCATCTGGCAGTTTACAAGATGACTCAATATGGCTGTATGCTTCTTGCTGCTCGTTTGCAGCCCATACTTAGCTACCTAAACTGAGATACCGTGTGAGAAACTCTGCAGGATGACGATGCTGGAAAGCGGAGCAAGAAGAAAAAGCAGCAAAAGCCGAAGCAGGCGTCTGCACGATTATTTTCCGGGAAGTTGGTGATCGGAATGCACGTACTGTAAGAAAGCTTGGCGGCTTATGCAGTGAACAGTGCGACGGATTGCCATAGACAAGGTACTCCACGTGCGCGGATGACCTGAAAGAGCATCTACACACGAGAGATTTGCAGCCGGTTTTCTTGGGCGGTCCTGGTGCCTGACTTTGGTGTGACATCAACAGGGGCTGTAGGACACCGTCCGCACCCGAAAAGCTACCAGCCTTGCGATCCTGCAAAAGGCTTCATCTGCGGTGGCATGCAAGCAATGCTCATGATGGTCGGATTGGCACCTGGCTTATGTCTCCGCTGCAATTCGGCTCCAGCAGCCAGCGGTGCGACTGCAATTCTGCAGTGTTCATCCGTCGACAGCTACACCATGTAGTCATGAATCATGAATCTACAAATCTTCCTCCGGGCAAGCATTTGCATCATCTAAACTGTGTGTCACATCTTCGCTCTTTGTGGTCTGCTGCATGTGATTAAGACTTGGAGAGGCGTGTATATTCATGTTTTCAACAATGTAATTTGCTTGGAACATAAGATATTTCTCAGCGCACACATCATTACGACTTCAACACACACTCAATGCGCAATCGATCTATCT